AGTATTGGCAATGATTTCAGTAAGGATAGTTATTTTAGGTTTACTATGTATGTAGTAAGCCTAAAGTAGCTGTGAGGCTGGGGGACCTTAGATGATTAGCTAAGTTCAAGAGTTGCTGACAAAGATTCAAGATTCTGCAAGTGTAGGTGCTTGCAGTTAGTGTATCAGACTAAGGCTATTATTGTCCTTAGGATTATTAGATAAGCTTCTGAGCTGTGCAGTAAAATATGTGTGCGATAGATGATTTTATTGGAAACTTGGCCCTCTTTATATGCATTTTGATAACTATTTATTTAACTATTTATTTATTTTATGAGGTCATTATTATTAGCGTTAAGAGTCTAGATACAACAATTAATACTAGGTAATAAATGAGTAAGAATGATAAATAAAAGTAGTGATAACTATCTCACCTCAGTATTTGTGCGCAATATGCCAAATAGCTGAGGTGATACTAACTAAATTGTCTTGTATTTAAACTATCTAGTAGCCAAGAGAAATATCCATATAATAGATCAGAAACATCTTACAAATATATGATATCAAGACAAGGGTATGAAATGACTATTGTTACCTGTGTTTATATGGCTGTAAGGCCATATTGTGGGCCTTTGCATGACCGTATGACCGTGTAGCTGTATAGCCGAATATGGCCATTGTGGACTATTCCATGCTTGTTGATCCAACACTCCCCTTCAAGCTGTAGATAGTCCTAATTCAGAAGTGAAGTGTTTGACTTTTGCAGATGGAAGTGGTTTTGTGAGTGTATCGGCAACCATGTCACCAGTTGGGCAGTAAACAAGGTGGATTGAGCCATTTTCGATGATCCAGCAGATGAAGTGAAAATGTATGTCAATATGTTTTGTGCGAGTGGGTACTGATGATCTTTCATGAGTGCAATGGCCAATTGATTGTCTTGAAAACAAAGTTGTGGGTGTATCTGGGGGTCCAAACAATTGACTAAGCAAAGAATGCAACCAAAGTGCTTCCTTAGATGCATGGGTCGCTGCGACGTATTCACTCTCAGTCATAGAGAGTGAAACTATCTCCTGTCACTTTTCACTCCAGGATATGGCACCACCATTTAACATAAAGGCATAGCCAGAGATGGCGTGGCGATCTTCAGCCATACTACCATCGGCGTCAGCATATCCAGTAAGTGTTCTGTTGTGATCCTGCTTCCTGTATGTTAACCACAAATGGTTGGTACCTTTTAGATAGTGGAAGATTCACTTGATGGCCTCCCAGTGGGCTCAACATAGATTGTTGGAAAATATCGAAACTATTTGCACAGAGAAGGCAATTTCAGGACGAGTACCCATTGCAGCGTACATAAGGGAGCCAATGGCATTGTGATAAGGTATATCATGCATTTCAGTACTTTCTTTCATGGTCGAGGGGGATTGAGATGAAGATAAGTGCATGGTATGGTCCATAGGAGTGGATATTGGTTTTAGGTTTTCAAGATGATAACGACGGAGGATGGACTCGATGTAGGAACATTGAGATAAGCATAAGGTGTGTTGTTCCCATTCACGAGTTATTTCAATTCCTAATAGCCAGTGCAGGTTTCCCATATCACTGATCTCCACATGAGTGGCAACATCATGTTTGAAGGTAATAATGGTATTGTTTGAGGTTGAGGCAATTGTGCAATCATTGACATGAACCAGCACAATTGTCAGGATACTGTGCTTCATACGATAAAACACAGCCTGATCAACATCACTGCAAGTGAATTCCAACTTTTCCATGATCTCCACTAACTTTTGATACCAGCATCGTCCAGACTGTTTTAAACCATACAGTGTCTTTAAGAGGTGGCACACTTGCCCTTTGGAGTCTGGAGCATGATATCCAGGTGGCTGCTTCATGAAGATTGTCTCATCATTTGTGAGTTCACCATTTAGATATGCACCTTTAATGTCAATCTGATGTAATTCGAGGTTGAGTGCAGCTGCCATTGACAACACAGTGCGAATTGAAGCAAGTTTTGTGATGGGTGCAAATGTGTCGAAGTAATCAACACCAGGTACTTGGGAGAAGCCTTGCACAACCAAACGAGCCTTGTACCTGATGACATTTCCTGCAGCATCCTTTTTTGCATGAAAAACCCATTTCAATCTGACCATGTTGGCACCTTCAGGAGGGTTGACAAGCTCCCAGGTGTGTGCAGTCTGCAGTGTTTCCAGCTCTTCAAAAATGGCCTGTTCCCACAATGGCCAGTCGGGACGACACTTGGCTTCAGCCAAGGAACATGGTTCAATTGCCTCAGCATTGCTGATTTCTAGAGCTAGTGCATGTTCTTCTTGCATTTCCATTAACATCATCCAGTTTGCTGTGCCCTCTCCTTCCAAGACTTCGGTACTGCTGTTCACGGGTTTGCTGGTAGGCAATTGGATGCCAGTGGTGAGCTTGGGATCATATTGCCAGTGCGTACTGACACCAGTGCCATGTAAAATGTCCTGAATGCACTGGCTAGTTTTTCTGGTATGTTTTTCTGTGGTGATTACTCCAGGTTGCAGATTGTCGCTGTTCTGCATAGGAGTGGTGATGGGGTTCAGTTTAGTGTCAGTTTTTGTTTTGATCAGGGTCCATTCCTCCCCTTCGAGACGAGAGGCTGATGGGTTATTGGAGTATATGTTGTGTTCAACTGTTACAGTCTGCTTGTCTGGCCAATAAATGTGTACACCATTACTTTGATCATCGATGCCCACCCAGTTTCCATCGTGTACTCGTCCTCTGAGTTTATCACCACTTGCCAACCTTACCCAAACCCTCTCACCCCACTCATGCAAGTCCTTCAAATTTGGCTTGGTTTTGAAGACCGCCTCATATGGTGTAGTGTTGCCTATGGCTTTTGTGATTGTGCGATTCAATAACCATATGACGTGCCAAGCAGCCGAACCCCACAGAGTGTGAGAGGTACAGTGAAATATACTCAGGAAATATAGTCTGCATGAGCTCATACTATATTTCCATTATTATTTCTACTTTCTCTCTATTTTATTATACACTTATATTTAGTTTGATGACCTATGTATGTGGTACATTGACTCTTGTGGGTGCACACATGCCAGACTTATGTATTCTAGTGCCCGTAGTTAAAACTCAGACACTTTTTACCCCGCAACCACAACTTACCCAGACACCCATTAGTGTCCTGTAAGTTGTGATTGGGGTATCGTCTCGACCGTCACAGACCAGCTTTAACTATCTATGCAATCAGAGTTTCAAACTGTACTAGTCGAAACTCCATCTATATCTCAATCTGTGCAGACTACATCCGCACTACTCTATTATTCAACTCTCTCATTACTCTCTTCTACACTCGAGGAGTCATTCGGAATCGTACTTAACAGTTGATTCCCTTTATTCATTTTAGCTCTCTACTCTACTTTAGATAGCTATTTCACTCAACTGTATTGAACTAAGTAGTCAATACCTGTTTGGTCTGTATTAGACTTAGACAGTCAATACATTCTTGTGTCATACCTAAATGGTCAATATTCTTCGTATATAGAATGGTTAGAACTTCCACCACTCTTCACACAGAGATTTCGGTAACACACTGGCATGCAGGAGGGCTTGGACTCGTTCTAGGATGGTGCAGTTTTGATGTTCTGCAATGCCATTATGCTGTGGAGTGTTGTGTGTGGTAAGTTTCTGCTCAGTGCCTTTAATTTTGAGATGGTGCTCAAAATCTTTGCTGAGGAACTTGCCGCCATGATCTAAATGCAATTTCTTTATGGGCACATTAAGTTGTGTTGCACACCAGGCGTCAAATTTCAGGTAAGCATCAAAGGTGTCTGCCTTGGTTCTGAGAAGTTGCAAGTGAGTAAAGCATGTGTTATCATCCGTAAAAGTCACATAATGATGATGACCTCCTAGTTGCACCATATGTAATCCTAATTTGCATCCAATGTGTATTTCAAATTCAGTTCCATGCTGGATTGGGCCTTTACCATGTGATCCATAGATGCTTTGTGGGGAAGTGCTGCAAATGTGTGAGAGCTGGATGCTGTACCAAAAGGATTTTATCTGTTTGCATTGGCATCCATTGAATACAATCCCAAGAATCAAAAACTTACATATCTAAACCCAATGCTGTTTAAGCTGTGCATCCCCTAATGCTATATTTTCCCTCACAGACAAGCCCTCCCCTTTGAACAGACTTCTGACTTGGTGTCACAGTGGGCCATCTTGTTTGCATATCTATGTATATGAAGGACAATGTTGACAGTGGCCCCCATGCTCTGATCTGATGTGCCACTCACAAGTCAGTGTGGCAATGGCCTATGAAATCAGAGATCTAGCCAAGAAGAATTATAAAGTTTCCCTGATAAAGTATTGTTTCCTCATTTCAAACTTTTTTTTAAAACAAATGACAAGAAAATACTGTCAGGCATTATAGATGAGGATGAGTGATGATCACAGATAACCTCAATCCTCAGGCTTAGTGGAAGTACAACAAAATTAAGGTGTAGTATGATAAATACAGATTCAACTGCAGAATGTAACAATGGTGGTGTTGTTGTTCAGTATGTGTTACAAGGTAGCTATCACAAACCATGCCTTGGTAGCTCAATTGGTAGAGCATAAGGCTCTTACAGTCCCTCTGACCGGGTAAGACTGTTGAGGGTGTGGGTTCGGGTCCTGCCTGAGGGTATACTTTTTCCCCATTAAATCACACTCCCTCCCTACATATATCTCTTTTTCCAAGCGCATGAAATATTTTTAACCATTATGGAACTAATCATGAAGTACCAAACATGCATATCCAGAACTATGTAGAAGTTCGAGGTTCACATCCCAAGATATAGTGACTTGCCTCATCACTTTATGCTTTTGTCACTGTAAATACTACTACAACAAAAGTAAGGTGTAGTACGACAAATAAGTCTGGAATGGGGGGGAAAAGATAGCAGATTCAAATGCAGAGCATAACAACGGTGGTGTCACAGTTCAATATATATTATAATGTGGACGTAGTAAAGCATGCCTTGGTAGCTCAGTTGGTAGAGCGTAAGACTCTTACAGTCCCTCCTTACAGTCCCTCTGACCGGGTAAGAGTGTTAAGGTCGTGGGTTCGATTCTCGTCTGAGGCAATATTTTTATCCCGTTAAATCACGGATCCTTCCTACCAAGAATTTCTAGTGAACCAGATTTTTTTTTTCCCGTTTCATGAAATAGTTTTGCGCATGGAACTTAGTTTGGACGAATTTATTCGTCCAGGATCTCTGATGAAGGTACGTCACATGACAGACAAAGCCACTTTGCGTTCCCCTGTTGTCATTACCCACTGTTCTCATATGTGTCACTTGGTAATAATCCATATATTTCTCTCCACTGCATCATTACATCTACTTAACACTCGATTCAAGGCACAAAATACCGATTTCTCCCCATGCGGCTAGTGTAACACTGCCATCAAAATCCGGCGGCCAAGCACGCCCCCGTCGCGTTCCGTTACCTATCCGAGAGCATGTACAGCACGTGGAAGGCAGGTTTGCGTCGGCAGGTGACTCTTCCAAGGTCGTAATCGCGAGAGGTGGAGGTGAGTTGGCCAGGTCAACAATAACGATTGATAGCTCACTTAGATTCGAATTACTGTTAAGAGTATTAAGAATATGAGATTATGGAACTGAAGAGGGCAATAGTCCTTTAAGGATGTGCATTGGGCCTGGGGGAGCAACGATGGAGGCCGGCTCTCGTATGGGCTAGAGGATGTGAGCGTCTGATACAATGAGCTTGATTATCGAAATAATGTTTCGTGGTTTAAATTTTGACACCAAGATGGTAACGAGCGCACGGAACGGCGAGATAATTTACTGAGACATTAACAAGCAAGGGAACAAGTACGGTAAGGCACCACCGATGCACTATTCCCTTCCATTTGACTGACTAAAATCGGAGACATGTGTAAAGGAACACAAGCGAGCCGTCAACAAGCTCGCCTTGTCGTCGTTTCTTCCCTATCTCTTCATAAGTGGATCGCAGGATGGACATCTACGTACATGGGTGAGCCCAACAGAAAGGATGCTTTGAAATGCAAGTCCTCACCACACACCACATCACAGGATCTTCGCACACCTTCGGCATCTACCATGAAATCTTGTCACGCTACTCCAATTCGAACCTTGGCGATGTGACGAGACTTGTTCAGGGTTACGTGCTTGGTACTGAATGGAATATGCCTAGGGTAGACGTTTGTGAAATGAACGGAAAGGTAAACCGCATTTCTCCTGATTTTCGCGATCTGGATTAGAAACCATTATCCATCCACAGAGCGTGTCAGGAAGGCCCAAGTAGCGCAGCAAGAGTCTGGAATTGTATGGCTGGACTCCTAGGTGTCAAACCGAGGACAGTCATCCTATAAGACGAAGAGGCTCCTTTCACACCTCTAAGGCAGAGAAAAGAGGAAACTGCCGCTGTGGGGACCCTCCTTCTCCTTGACACTGACGGCAGGCAAGGTCATCTGCAATCTAGCTTCCACTTGAGCCCACATGATCGCCCTCGTTCTGCCCGTGTCCAATTATCCCCCCATTCCCACTCGACATCACCACGTCTGACGCCCTCACCCTCTCCTCATGCTAACCCAATCGCTCTTCCATCTGAGCCACCCACATCGCCGGAGACCATGTATGACGCGTCTATCTGTAGCGCGAGTGTACCAGGAAAGTCCCGGAACATATTGAGGTACATGACATCTTGGTTGTTGAGCTTGATGCGAACTTGTGGCGAGAGACTCCTCCATTATCTCTCCGCGACTATTGACGGCTCGATCGGCCGCTAGGGCTTGTGTCCTTTTCTGTGCCATACACTGGCGGCGGCGCACTGGATGACTCGGGATGACTCGGACAGCGAGAGTGGAAGGGAAATCGATGACGAAGATGGCGTCAATGGTAGTGCGAGTGTAGGAAAGGCCATCCTAGTAGGCGACGGACGGGGACGTATCAAATTCGAAGAAACGCGTAGATTATCATCATTATTCAGGGATTCCTCACTTGCTAAAGCCGCACATACTCCTTCACCACCGGTACCCGCTCTTCAACATCCTTGACAAACCTGCACCCATCATCGAGCTTCTCACCTTCGTCTCGCACCACGTCGTGCAGTCGGCGTATCTCTAGTCCAACCAGCCGCTCCCGTTTGCACTTCAGTTTGGCGATCCGCAAGGGTCAACCAGCTTAGCGGAGCATCACCCGACAGCCATCTCCCGAGAGACGAGCATAGCCATGGGACCATGACGATGAAGACGAACATGGAGATAGTAATACGCATTCGGGCTCTGACTCAGATGACTCGGACAGCGAGAGTGGAAGGTAAATAGATGACGAAGATGGCGTTAATGTAGTGCGAGTGTAGGAAAGGTCATTCTAGTAGGCGACGGACGGGGACATATCCCATTAGAAGAAACGCGTAAATTATCATCGTTATTCATGGACTCCTCCATACGCCTTCACCACCGGTACCCGCTCTTCGGAATCCTTGACAAACCTGCACCCAGCATCGGGCTTCTCACCTTCGCCTCGCACAACCTCGTGCAGTCGGCGTATCCCTAGCCCAACAAGCCGCTCCCGTTCGCACTTTAACCTGGCGATCCGCAAGGGCCAGCGAAGCCCCACTCCCCTGTCGAAAAGCATCGTGCAGCTTCGCGAAGGATCACCCGATAGCCATCTCCCCAGCGACGAGCGTAGCTATGGGGACCATGACGATGAAGACGAACACGGAGATAGTAATGCGCATTCGGGCTCTGACTCAGAGTCGGGTTCTGGATCAAGCTCGGGGCCTGAGGGACGTTCGCCTTCCGCATCATAGTCACTTGTTCGTTCTCGCGAGTCATTGAGCATTATCAGGACAGTTACCGACCGTCCCCCGCCACCTCGATCTACTCCCGAAGCATTAACGGCTATTCGCGGCGCCGGCGTAGACGGCTCTTCGACGATGAAACCGTCTCCACAACCCGGGATGGTATTAGACTTGGGGCTCTCAAACATGGGGCCTTTGGCTGTTGGGGAGCGGACAGTCATACACGTTATGAGGAGAATTACTGAAGGAGACGTCATGTGGAACAGACGGGGTCTGGGATGCGTTGAAAGAGACGCTAGTGGATTTTGGGGAGATGGTGAGTCTTTGGAATTGTCTTGAGTTTGTCCGAGCCCTGATGATGCTTACGTTGATTTTCTTAAGGGGACGTCTAAATCTGTACCTTACTTGCTATTGTGGCATCTAAAGAACTCGGGACTGGACCGATACGTCGAGCAATATTTGTTGAAGCATATGCTGGTGAGCTACTAGAGCCTACGATAATGTATCAAAATCCCTAGTAATTCCTTGCGCTATAAATGCTTTCCAGGCTTCAGCTTCGCGCACTTCCTGCTCATGTGCGGAAATATGCCCCGTACGAGCCGGTTCGACATACAACCGAGGTAAGAATCCATATATATCCGTCCACTGCATCCTTAACGCTCGATTCAAGACACAAACTACCGTGTTCTCCGCATGCAGTCTGTGTAATGCTGCAAGCAGAATCCGAACTCCCGGGACGGCTCCCATTTGTTCTGTACAGGTTCTTGCTATCTGACATGACGTCAATTAGAGTCGAGTAAAACTAACTTTTATGTTCTGCCAGGAGTGACCTCTACTACTAGCGGCTCATTGGCATTGGACCAGTCCATGTCATCTATTATGTATCATATTTGACTGTAGCAACCTCTTGCCCCTGATGTAGGCATTAGGTACACAATTCGTGATACACTTCATACAGACCAAAGCTTGTGCAACACCGAAGAGCTTTCCAGTACAAACGAGTCCTCTAAGCGTCACAATTGTGAGATCCTTTGGCCTTGCATCTTTGGGTCTCATACGAAGTTCGAGACCATGGCGTGAAAAAGAGGGAACTAACGGAGGAATATATCTTAATACATTAAAAGGTACAACCCAAATCCCCGCAAATGAATGGAGATACTCTGTAATTCGTTATCGACCTTCAGCCGACCCACGTGAAAATCGCTCATCGCAGCCCAACACTAATGCCCATAGCCTTCCGTACAGGTATGTCCAAGAACTCTCATCCGAACCCGCAGCCTTGCACGCTCTTCCTCCTTTATCACGAGACCGAGTCAGACCGTGTGTCATCATCCGCACTCGCGTCTTCACGCAGTGTATCTCCGTCAGAAACACTATAGTACGTTGTCCTATCTGGTTAACAGGGATATATCTTGGATGAGCTGCTGGTGCCATTTGTGGAAATGGCTGTTGTGGGAATTTCAGCGAGAGGATATGGGAGATAAAACAGTGACACGTATGGGACCAAACCCCCAGTTCGTTAGGTGCCACAATGGCAAGTAAGGCAAACATTTAGACATCCCCCTAAGACAATCAACGTAAGCATGACCAGGACTCGCACAAATTCAAGACACATCCAAAGACTCACCATCTCCCCAAAATCCGCTGCCGACTCTTTCAACACATCCCACACCAGGTCTGTCCACATGACGTCTTGTTCAGTAACTCTTCTCCTAACGTTTATGACCTTCAGCTCCCCAACAGCCACAGGCCCCATGTTTGAGAGCCCAAGCCTGAAAACCATCCCGGGTGTTGGAGGCGGGTTCCTCGTCGAAGAGCCCGAATGGGCATTACTATCTCCGTCTTCATCTTCGTCGTCGTGTTCCCCATTGCAACGCTCGTCGCTCGCGAGATGGGTATCTGGTGGCCCTTCACAAAACTGCACGATGCGCTTCGACACCGGACTGAGGCTCGGTTGGCCCTTGCGGATTTCCGTGCTGACATGAGAACGGGAGCGACTGGTTGGGCTAGGGATACCCCGCGTGCACGCGGAGCGAGGCGAGGGTGAGAAACTGGATGATGCGTACAGGTTTTTAAACACTGGTGTAGAGGGGGGATCGGTGATGAAGGATGATGTGCGGCTTGTAGGAAGTGAGGACTCCATTAATGACGATGATATTCCACCCGTTTCTTCGAATTGGATACGTCCCCGTCCGTCACCTACCAAAATGGCCTTTCCTACACTCTCACTACCATAGACGTTATGTTCGTCTCGCTATCGCTTCCACCCTCGCTATCCGAGTCATCCAGCGGGCCG